AGGACAGAGTAGAACTGCCCCATAGGGTTTCCAAGGAGCGGCTGGTGGATTCGAACTGCTGACCTTTTGCTTAGCAGCCGAGCTCTGAATCACTGTGCCACCAGGGCTCTGAGACTTGGTTAGCAGTCCACAAAAGTCCATGACCCCCCTTCCATAGGACAAAGATGCTGTTGAGAAGCAGCTGCTCAACCAGGGGCTCTATTCTCCCGCCCACCCCTAATTCAGAGTGTGGTCAGGTAACTAAATTTCACATAGGGTGATAACTAGTGTGAAGGTGGTGCAAATGGTTAAGCGCTCAGCTGCTAATGGAAAGTTGTCAGTTCAAACCCTCTCAACGGTGCCTCAGAAGGCAGGTGGTGCTCAGCTCCCAAAAGGTCACAGCCTTAGAAGCTGCATGGAACAGCTCTACTCCACGACACACAGGGACGCCAGGAGGTGGGACTGACTCAACGGCAACTAGTTTGGTATTTTTGTTTCTGTTTTTTCGGTCTGTGTGGCCGACTACCACATCGTAAGGAAAAGTGGTCTACCTGCACGCCTGGCTGGAGTTTTGTTCACAGCAATGGAGCTGTAACATCTGATTTTATCCCTAGGTGAACCGCAGACCGAAGCCTGAGGAGTCCCAGCCAGGGCATTCTGCCCCACCCTCACCGACCGCCCCAAACGGGGCGCTTCAGGGCTGCTATGCCCACACGTGGCTGGAGGAAGGGCAACCCCAGCCAGCCCTGAGGAAGATGCAGGAACCGAGGTGGGCTTCACTGGCAACTGAGGAACTTTTCGTTAAGTTCCCACTTGGAATGTGGGCAAGGACGACCCTAGTCCATTGTCACTTATAAAAAGAAAAACAGTTGCCATCAAGTCGACTCCAGCACATGGCGACTCATGGCGACCCATGTGTGTCAGAGTAGAACAGCTCGACGGGGTTTTCAGTGGCTGATCTTTCAGAAGCAGAACACCAGGCCTTTCTTCCAAAGTGCCTCTCGGTGGATTCGAACCTCCAACCTTTCAGTTAGTAGCTGAGCACTTAACTGTTTGCACCACCCAGGAACTACCCACACTTAGGAACGTGCATGTGGAGATGAGCAGATACAGACCCCAAGACCCACAGGCAGACATCTACACACCATGACACAGGCCCCTGCAGACATATACGTGAGACACACGGACACAGGGACACAGCACGAAGCTGTTCCCACCCAGGCCTGACTTGCGTGTGGATGGGGACGGGGAGAGGTACGGGAAGCAGAGCGCGATGACGGTCATTTCCCATGACGCGATTCCTCCTGGTCTCTGCTGTCTATCCTGCTAACTTGATAGCGATGCCCTCCACGAACTCTAAACCTCACTGAGATTGTATGATTATTTTCTCCAGCCATGAACGGCCAGGGCAGGCACTAAAGGAATGTGGTGCATCAATTAAACACTTGGCTGCTAACCAAAAGGCCGGCAGTTGGAACCCACCCAGCTGCTCTGAGGGAGAAAGACCTGGCGATCTGCTCCCTTAAGATGACAGCCTAGAAAAACCCTATAGGGCAGTTCTACTTTGTCACATGCGGTCACCACGAGTCGAAATCGACTGGATGACACCCAACAACAAGGGAATTCGTATATCCCTGCATGTGCCATAGACAAGTGTCCCGATAAATAGGAGATTTTCTTACATAAAGCTTTCTCCCAGCACTGCCGTTCCTTTACATACGGTGCCACACACACCCAGGGTGTCCTAACGGTTTATTTTAATTTTATTTGCTTTAATGGCTTTATTTCCGATGGCTACTCTTCTGTCAGAATGCTAACGACTACACTTCTAAATTAGAGCGTGATTGCAATTTCCAGTTTAGCTCAAATTAAACGCCTAGACAGCAAAGATGTGTAATTTAAACCCTCAGGCTAGAATCTCAGATGAGACTCAAAAGTTTGACACCTAAATGAGTTTTCCCCCAGTGATATGACACTAATGAAAGCAGGTAAGCAG